TTTGCTCTCCCTCCTGCTAATGAAGAAGGTTCCTCTCTCCCTGTACTAAGACGAAGGTGCTCAATATGGCGGAGCGGTCTCCGCTGGATGAGTGACGATGGTATGTGGGTAATGGTCCATTTCACTAACAACAACAGGACTCTACAGCTAGTAATGGCATCACCAATAGGCCAATGTTTATCAGTTGTTCGCTACAGGTCAAAAGTTATAGCAACAATTCTGAATGCAAAAGAAAAGTTCTGTAAAGGCCTTCAGTGCTACGATGTTTTTCAGAGTCCCCAATGGGCTCTGCTTCCTACAGGTGAGGAGTTTAAACTCTCTCGCTCTAAAAAAGGAGTGTTTCGTTTAATTGAGATCAGTCAAAGGATCATTAACCAGAGGGATCCCGACGAGCCTTGCATCATCACTGATGTATCAGGGACCTGTAACATCTCAACTAAGGATCTGTTTTTGTTTGAAGTCTACAATGGATTCTCCACTTCAGTGCTACAGACCTTGTTTCAGCCTGCAAACCAAGAGGATCTAGTCTCTGATGAATTTATACTAGAACTCACTGAGGCAATGAGATACATATGTAGTGAGTATAATCCTTTGAAAATTGCCACTTCGATATTGGGTCTTCCTAAAAGGAGAGCAAATGAGTTTGTCCGTCGAGATAATTCCGATTTTGATAACTGCATGTCTGTATTAAAGCTCTGGATTAAAGACAGTGATATGCCAAGTTACAGGAACTTACGAACATGTTTCGATGAACTGAGTGTATTTGCTGGTCGGAATCCACTCGTAAGTAATAATTGAGAGAGAGAAAGAGATAGAGAGGTAATGACTAATGAGTGATACAGGGTTTTCAACAAAGCATGCCAAGTGAGCTAAAAAGCATGAGCTTTATGAGCTGATAAGAACTACAATAGTACTTTTTTGGCTTTGGTGCAACTTTAAAAATTTATTTAAAAATTAGTTTTGATGAAAATTAGCTCAAACTTGCTAAGCAATATTAAAACATGTATATGTATCAGAAAAAATTATAAAAATGAAAAATTCTCTCCTAGTCATTTTTGACAAAATTTGGCCAAGAGCCATAAGCTTGATTTTTTAGTAACTTTAAAAATTCACGAAAAGAGCACTATGCCTAAACCTGTTGGAAACCCTGGAGTAATACAAGCAAAACAAGTGAATAAAACTCTATGTAATAGTTTGCAGTAATTATTGATCCACTCTCAATTGTCATAGGATTTGGCAGCTATCAAAGACACATGTAGAGTTGAGAGTCGTTGAAGTTTCTTACAGTTACAGAGTCAGTATAGTTCACATCATTACCTTGTCCCCTCCCTATCCTGTTTACATTGTTGTTGTTGTTTTATTATTATTATTATTATTATTATTATTATTATTATACATGTACAACAATATCATTTCATTTTGTGACAAATATAAAAATAGTTATTGTTATTGCTATGATTATAATATCGACTGCTAAAATTTTTGATGCTGATGAAACTGAGAATGATAGAGATGAAAGTGAAAATCCTTTGACAACCTCTGAGAAAAAACAAAAATTATATGTGACCATCTCCATTAATCATAAAATTACTCCAGAGGATGCAAAAAGTTACTATGTAGCTTATAGAAACAATTGTTGACTAACAGAGCACTCACAGGTTGATATTTTTCATTTTAAAGATGAATTTTAAAATCCGCCATAAGGTACCTTTTGTCAATTATGGTCACATATGCATAACTAACAAGTATTAAATTATACATACATGTACAGTACCGTATAGCTGGAAATTTTAGAGGGAATTGAACTTGGCGAATTTGTCGTTTTGATAGCCATTCGCCAAGATAAAATCCACCATTTTGAGCCATTATACGCATGCTCAATGGCACATGGCCACAAATTTGCCAAATTAAAATTCGCCAATCACCAAAATTTAGCAATTCGTCAAATTTTAGTCCCTCCAAAATTTCCCACTATACGGTGTGCACCAATACCTATATTACTCTAAGTATATTAGTCTAAGCATCATTAGTCTATTGGTATGTACAGTAGTATATCACTTACTCTGCAGAACTCTAGTCCTTT